GTAGCGGCGCTTGAGGGTGTCGGCGATGGCACCCATGATCGCCTTAGGGTAGGGCCGCGCGGCAGCCACCCACCCGGTGGGCTGCCCAGGCGCCTCGTGCTCTACCACGAGGGCAAAGCGGGAGGTGCAGCGTTCGCGTTTGATTTATACATGGAATCTCTGTAGTGCGCGGTCCGGCCTCGAGCAAGGGCGGCTTTGCTTTCCGGCCGGTGCTGCCCCAATCCGGCTGCTCCTGCCCAGCCGCCACATCTGCCCTGCAATCCCTGTCATCAGCGGACCTCAGGACCTCTCCCTCCCGGCTCACGCTCACGCTCACACACACACACACACACACACACACACACACACACACACACACACCGCCCCGCGCCCCACGACCCACTACCCCCTCCTTGTGCCTCGCATCGCCTGTTTGTCCCTCTCATCCACCCCGCCCCCCACGCGCGGCCCCCTCACCCGCATCCTCGCCCTCGTCGCTGCTGTCGCTCTCACTGCCACTGGCCAGCTCGGCCTCCTCCTCCGCGGCCGCCTCCAGCTCAGCGGCCTTGACCGCCACCACCAGGGCCGCCTCACTCATGGGCACCACCAGCACGGGGCACGCACACCTGGGGGATGGGCGCCCAGGGGGTGGGGGGATGGGCAGCCGTCGTCGGCGGCAAAAACCGCGAGCGCGTCGAGCCGGCCGGCGGGCAGCTTCCGCCAACGCCACTTCTTCCAAGGCGCCACGCGCGCCGGCGCTCTCCGGGACCAGGCCCCGCCTTTGATCGCGCCAGCCCTGCCTCGTCGCAGGCCCCCTCTGCAGGAACACCGCCCGGCGCCCCTGCGCCCACAGCCACACCCCAACCAATCCGCCCCCTCGCCTCCCAGCCCCTGCCCGCCCGCCTCTCCCCCCACCTGTTGTATATGGTGGTGGCGTTGCCACGCCGCGCCAGGCCCTTCCTCTTGCATGAGCCCTTGTACATCCCGATGACGAGCAGGTCCACGCTCTCCTTGCCCACAAAGTCCAGCACCGCCTTGCGCCCCTTGCCCTGGCCCGCCTGCGGGGCAGCGGGGGATGCGGACGGCACCGCAGGCGCAGAACGGTTCGGGGCGTTCGGCAGGGGGCCACATCCAGATAGGAGGGGGAGGAAGCGGGCGCAGGCGGGAAACGAGGGCGCCGGGCGTGAGTGGAGGTGGCGAGGGGTGTGAACAATGAAAGGGCGCGGGGTGGTGACCCACCGGCAGGTTGAAGGTTGTGATATGGGGCAGCCCCGCGAGCGCGTCCCCCGCCAGCCGCTGCACGCTGTTCTTGTCGGCAAAGCTGGTGCCGGGGCGCCGCATCCTGCCAAGGGCGGCGGCGCGCCAGAGGGGGGAAGGAAGGGGGGGAGAAGGGGGCAAGGGGGCAGTGTCAGCACCGCGGGGACGCAGAGGTGCCGGGGCTCTGGTGGGGCCCGCGCGCCTGGCTTGCGAACAGCCTTGAGTCAGGGCCCAACGTGCGGACCCGCACGCACGTGAATGGCAACCTCACAGCACAGCTAGCGAGTCTGCTTCTGGCTTTCGACTAACCTCGTTTGGTATCAGTTGGGTACCAAGCAAACAAGGAAAATTGCATTGAAATTTTGATCAAGCAACCAAGAAAATTTGGAACTTGGTCTCCGCACCTGGGCACGGCCCGCACCACGAAGATGTTGTCCGCCGGCTCCAGGATGTTCTCCGCCGCCCACTTGAGCAGGTACCTGCCAGGCGGCGGTTACGTCAGCGGCCGGCAGGGGCAAGAGTGAGCCAGGCCTTTGCATGGGCGCAGAGGGGAGCCCGCAGCAGCAGCAAAGGGGGGGGGTCTTGAGGGGCCCCTACTCTGCGGGCCGACCGTCCCGGCGCACTGCAGCCCTGGTCGACCTGCCGAGCAGGCTCAGCAATCAAGGCGCCGCCCCGGCCCGCCGCGCCGCATTAACACACGCGCAGACGGGGGCGCGTGCAGCAAGAGGCGGTCCGCGCGCGTCCCGGGCGCCGCGCCCCCGCGTACCTGCCGCTGGCGGTGGTGTCGTAGGC